TCTGAGCCGCTTCTGCAGGCAGCACAGGTTCTTCTTGAAACTCGGCCATGGTTATTCTTCTTCGTCGGGCGCCACTATCAGGTTCAGTGTTTCCTCCTTACTTGCTTGAGGAACATTAAATGACCTGACTCGGAACAGGGAGCTTACTAAAGCTATGTTCAATAAATGTGGGAAGTAGACAAGATACACAGGAAGGGTATACGAAACCCTTTATTTTTCTCTCTTTACAATGATTTCCGGACTTCGGAATACAGAGACCAACCACTTGTGGTCTGAACGTAAGAATATAAAAATATTAACTAAATTCTAACTAAACTAACTTTGGATTAATAAACAAGTGTCTACTTGAAGATTGGCCGTATATTAACAGAAAGGCCGTATGTAGTACAGAGAACTGTTAACACTACGATACGTTTAAAATTATCAAGAGGATTAAACCTCTGGCCTTGAAGGCAACCGAGTAAAACTGCTAAGGCAAGCGAGTAAAACTGCTAAGGCAAGCGGCCTGCTTCTACTAACTCCTTCCTCTCTCCCTTGCTTGGCAAAAAGCCACAACTTAAGTACTTGGCGTTCTCAAGACAAATTTGCATAAATAAGTTAAAGCTTTTAATTCTGGCCGGAAGTAGAAAATAAGAAGTGATAGTAAAGATTTAAAATAAAATAAACGTTAGTAAAACTTAAGATCCTTACAACGTTACCTAAGAATTAACATCATGATTGTGAAATTTAATGCCTTACGTGAAATTTAATTTTGCATATCAAGGTATTAGATGAATATTTAAATTTTTGCAGAAAATTGCATCCGCTTTTAAGAGAACATCACATTACAAATGCTTTATCTTTTTTATGGCAAACTTCAGCAAAAAACGTTACGAGCATAAATTATAACTTTTTGAAATTATTTTGTACCTTACATAATAATTTGGTATCATTTGTTGCATTGCAAGTCTTATGATATATTCAAATCCTCATCTAGGTAATTTTTGGATGAAGTTCAAGGCTTAGTTTTCAAACACTATGGCACATTTTACATTCTTTTCATAATTTTCTCATTCAAATAAGAAAATTACAGTAGACTTCCTTTTAACTGGGGGAATATCGGAAAACACCTCTACGTTTAACCAAAATAACTGTTAATCCGACTGAAATTAAAAAAAAAAAAAAAAAAACACAGAAAAGATGAATAACCCATATTATAATTAGTATAAAAATATGATTAACAGTGTTAATGATGTGTCTTTATTTTCAAGCAGTTTTATCAGATGAATACTTCTTAGAGAATCTGGAAAATACAAGGCTGTAGAAATTAAATCGCATTCAAAATAAGACCGTCCTTTGAAGCAGAAAAAAATGCTATTGTTCACAGTTACCTTGTATTTAGGTATCAGTGGCAAACAGAGATTCAATAGCTATACACTTAATTTACTTTTGCGATTTTTTTAATGGATGTTTTAGCAGTGTTTATATATTACAGATTATTTTTAGTTAAATTACATAATATTCTGTATAAAACCAAATCTCAAAGACAATTATAAAGGTAGTATATCTAATAGTATCAACTATTAACCGCTTCCCTTACAAATTATTTTGAAAAAAATTGCAAAAACTATTACATTTTTTAAAATTTTATTATTAAATACAAGAAAACGAAAACAAAACAAAATATGTAAGTTTTAAGTTGAATTTTTAATTTTTTACCTGTGTAAAAGCATTTAGTTTTAATATTAGTTTACTATCCCGAGTTATCTCGGGAAAATGAAAAGGTAAATATTAGTCTTTGTATGAAAGTTTTTGAAAAAAGAACACAAAGTGATACCTGACACACTGGTATCTGGTCTTTTTCCTTACTGGATCAGTGTTGTCAGATCGTGCGATTTTTCTCAAATTTGCGACTTTTGACAAACTTGTGCTACTAAAATTTTAGTATATGCGATTTTGCGAAATTTTTGCGACTTGCATCATTTTCTTATGCTACTTTTTGCGACTTGCATCATTTTCTATGCTACTTTTTGCGACTTCAAAATTTTTCTTTTAATATGTCGTATAATGCTTTGATGTTAAATGTATCAATTAAAAATAATTTATATATATATAAAAAAAAACAGTTTGTTTAGACTTAAATAGAAGTTGGCATATGGCAATCTTGTTTACAAGTGGGCTTTTATTTTTCAAGGCTGCAGAGCTTGCCGGTGAAATGAGAAGCGGGTAGGAGAAAAGGAAAACGTGGAAAAGAAAGAAAGAAAGCAATTCCTCAGGACCTCTCACCTTCACCCCTCGTCCCCGTGGGTTTTGTTTTTCAGTCAGTCTCCCGTCTCCCAGTTCTATGGTGATAACGAATCGAACAAAAGAACTTGCAGCTTGCGCGCCGTTTATTAAGTACCCAGACAGAGAAAGAAAATGAAATTCATTTTCCTGATTTATAACATTGCTAAGAACTATGCAATGGAAATGTATTAAAAATCAAAGCAACAACATTTTTACAAATAACGACGCAAATAAATTTAACAACGAAAGAACAAGGCTTTCATAAGTAATCATAATCTGAAATAAATAGACCACGCAGAAAGAAATTAGAATCGAATACAGTAACTTACGCAACCAATAGACAGTAAATTTGTGATGATGTCAGATGTCATGTGAGCATGCGTAACTATGATGTTACAAAAATCACATGATCTCTGGCGTCATTTGCGACTTTTTGAGTCCTTTTTTGCGACTTTAGTTGAAACATTTCTGGCAACACTGTAACTGGCTTACCTCCGCAATCTCTTTTACGGGAGCACCACTGTCTCATTTTATTTGATTTTTTTCAGCAACAGGAATAACATCTGGAATACGTCCACCTCTTCATAATCACTATCTGAAAAATCATCATTTTCGCTATCTTGCATCATCGCCATTATTTTACTTTTTTTCAAAGCAGCTAGCCTTCTTTATCTAATTGTAGAAATAGAAAATTTAGATAAAAATATGCAAATTATCAAATGTGCAGAGGTTTTAAACAATGCTACGGGGCAGCTCCGTATTGTCGAATACCGAATACTTCTAGTGTTTGGGTTCTCCTATGAAAGGCTTATATTTATCTCAGATCTCTGTATTCTGGTTGTTGTCGATTATTTTGATGCTCTGACAGTGCTATCACAAGGTCCCATATGGAAAAGGAAGTCTGCTTCTTTCTGTGTACAGATGACGGTATAGTACACTTGTAGCAAGTTGCAGGTGAAGGGCTTCAATACGCTTATCTGAATCAAACACAAGACCTTCACCTGATGTTATGATGCGGTGTGTCACATCTTATGACTCGCGGGCTATTACAATATGCCAGAAGATTGTAAACCTATCGTGACGTCCTCCGTGGTTGCCATTCAGGGCAAAATATTCCAGTACAACGATAGGTGAATGCCAAGTATCTGCCCAAGAGCCAAGTATCTGCAGCTACTCTGCAGATTGTTGATACATCAACCATGCAGATCACCGGATATGCTTCAGCAGAACACGTGTGGGACCAAATCGAAAGACATATCTGTCGCCTTTTATAAGCACAAAATCATGTTGCTGTCTTACACAAATGGGTTGAAGAAGCATGATTCGACTGTACTGCAGGATGTCATCTTCACTCTCTATGACATAGCACTGAATGGCCAGCTGTTGCATTGTCGTTGGTTAGAAGTACTCATTAACCCCTGGGTGACGTTAAGAGCTGTGTATTACAGGGCATATATGCAACACATAGCTCTTGTTATATGGTACCAATCGAAATAAATTCTGTTCCATTAGATGACATATGCATTCCTTTTCTGTGTTAAGTTTAAATTTTTACGACTTGGAATTGCATTCCTTTCGACAGTGTGTGTTTTTATTGCCACAAAATGATAATTAATATATCAAATCAAAATAAAGCTGTCGAATCAGATTTACAAGAGTTATCTGTAACTTCCTTTACTTACACGACCATATTCCTACCATATATTTTCTAACTAAAATTTTCCTCAGTGTTCACAGCAGCAATGTAGATTTTGTAGACATATAGGCTTCTGGCCCATTATGACATAAATGCAATAGCTTTAATAATGTTGCGAATTATGCGAAGAGAGAGCATCTGATCTCAGTTGCTTAGTTTCTGTTGTTCCGAGTTATTAGTTCCGCATGAGCTGATGTATATTCGAGTTAGCTTTCTCTTTAGATGTACTTTGCATTGCATTGTGTTTAACGTTTTTAGTAGTTTGATGCGTACCTACTGATTGTACTCTGGGATACAGTGAACTCCTGTACGAGTATTTCTGCCGAAAATTTTAGAACTATAAATTGTTTATTTATGATAAAATAAATTTTTATTAACCTATCATCGGACTTACTTGCAATCAATCTGTTACGAACTCGTACGCACGCAACAATATATTCCCGAAATAAAGTGTATGATTGCGTAATATCTGGTGACCCAGGCGGCAAACTATGCGCTATGGAATACTAAGTTATTTCATCAATTGAGACTGATCTAACACAGCGGAAGCCATTTCTACAAAGACGAAAGCTATCGTATAGTGACATTATACAGTGGTATTAATACCGGAGGTTTTCTTTTTAATTTGTTGCGTATTAAATTAATAACACGATGCTAATATACAGAGAGTTATGATCATCTTAGATGAGATCAATCATCTTAAATAATTTTAAGCATCTTTAACAAATTCATGTAAAGAAAAATTGTTGTATTCGGCTAGCTTAAATAAATACTCAATTGCTGTTTGTAAAAATAGAGGTTATATTTCTTTATATGATTTTTTTCTCATTACTTCCTTGAAGCATTTCAGAATTCTCCTTTTTGGATTTTTCACTTTTTTGGAACAGTGAAGTGTTTGAGCATATATGTGTATTTGCTTCAGTTCATCACATTTATTTTTTCTAACCCATGCGAAATTTTAAGAAGTTGATATTACATTAGTAACAACATTTTGAAACGTTTAAATTTCATTCCTTAATAAATTCTATGTTTATTTCAGGCTGAATCCAACAAGACAAGAATCACTGCAGCTAACCAGCGTGCAAGTAAACTTCTGAAAGAATAAGGGGAAGTGGAACACGGTCGCACATTCAATACCTACTTCCAGTATAGCCATACATCATTTCCTCAGTATCAGAAATTTTGCTACAATTTTCTTTTACAATTTGTAATAAGTGCTGATTATGGGCATTCATTTCAGTTCAGTCTAATTATTATTTTTTACAAAGTTTGTGACAGATTGTGATAGCAAGGGCCCTGCTTTGCATGAATCACAGAATATATTCACAACGAACTAAACCTTCAGGTGGTGCAACTGCTGCTGCATATATACCTATATTATGCACGAACTCAAAAAGTCAGAAAGAATATTTTGAATTGTTACGATTGGGATATTAAAAAGGGCTCTCTAAAAAAGATTTTTGCATATACAGTATTTCTTAAAAGTAAATTAGGCTTGAACTCAACACTTACATTGAAAGGAAAGTGTTATCTACTAAATATGCTTTAACTATTTATTTTTAAAGTTTCATTTTATTTTCTTTAGTATCCAAAATTGCCCACAGAAGTATATTGTACGGAAAATATTTTATTATCGTAGTTGACTCTATAGATATTTCATTTACCCAAAACAAATCATTCTTCCTATGTCAATTCCTTTTAGCATGATTTCACATGAAATAAATTTTTAAATGCGAAGTGTTTTAACTTTGTTTTAGCTGGTGATTTTATTGCAAACCTATTGCAATTCATTATTCTGAAATAATAACTTAATTATTCTTCATGTTGTATATACATAAAATAAATCTCATTTATTTCTGGCATAGTATGAGGGAAAAGAAGATTTTATACTGCTGTGATTTTCTTGCTGCATTTATGTGTAATTTTCAATGCATACTTATTTCCCTTATACATGTTCACTTTTTGAAGAGTGCATAATCGTATATTCTATGAATCTGCAATGGAAATAGGGGCCTTTGACGTTTCTTCACTGTTTAACAAAATGGCACTATTAGTAAATACCCTCTTACCAATACCGAATTTTCTTTGAAACTTCGACTAAGTTAAGCGACCATGTTCAAAGGAAGTATGTGCCTAGACGAAAATGTGTAATTACGTTCGTCATTTGTTTCTTCTTTTATGACTTCAGAATATAAAAATATAAGAATGCTTTTCAAATATTCACTCTTTACCTAAGCATCTGTGTTAGTGGTTTTAAATGTGTGAAAAAAAATATATATATACATACATACATACATATATATATATATATATATATATACATAAAGTACCCCCACCGCACCTAAATATACGGTGCTTTTGGTGTTACTATTAGTAGATGGCATTTGTTGTACATATGCATGATAGTAAACAAAATATCAACTGCATTGTTATATTTATCTATTTACTTCTCAATGTTATATTCTCAGACTTGGTAGCTTTTTTTCGTCAGTATGTACCTGGTCCTGAAGCTCAAACTATTTGTTATTTATTCTTAAAGAAAATACACGTTTCAAAACTCTTGAAAAAAGACCATAAGATAATTAAAACTTCCCAATGGTGTATTTTCTCTATTTCAGTTACTTTTTCCCATTTCTCTGGAAGTGCTAATTTTTAAAGTATAACAATGAATTATTTGAAATAAACCAGAGTCCTTATAAATATTTTTCTTGTTATGTTTTTCAAAATATAATGGTTAAGTAATATATCAGATGTTTGTAATTATTTGTAATAATTCCTGCTGAATGTTCCTAGGCTATTTAGCTATCATTTTAGCTGATTTACAGGTTTAAGCTTTTAAAAATTCATTTAAAATGCTTTCAATTGCCTAATTTTTGTCATTTTTTAAAGTTTTCTGAATACAATTAATTTTTCAGATACCACTTGCAAATATAAATGTTTTTAGAATTATACATTTTCTTAATATCTATAAAATTTTATAAATAAAGATCTAAAATGTCAAGCTAAAACATTACGCTAACTTTTTGCTGCAGATATTTTCATAGAGAAACGCCATTTTATGTAGAAACGAAAGAAAGCAATTTATTTTATTTTATTTTAATGCTAAATATTACATTCTACTTGATTTTGTGAAAACATCTGCCGAAATTAACGAGTGAATTTAAGACGCCAAGTGTGAGAATCTAAACACAGCACAATTCGTAAATTGTGTTACTAATACTTAGAAGAATGGGCACGTAATGATCTCAGTATTTCTTTAGATAAAAATATTATGAATATTGTAAAAAGAGATTAGTTATGTCTTTAGTCCTACTTGTTAACTGTACAGCTTTTAAATAAAATTAGTTAATTAATTCTAAATCGTGTTTATTAAAATGGTACATTATTCCAAGGTTTCTAATTTTTGTTCTTCCAGCTGGACCAAAACTATGCAGTTATCGTTAACTATTATCGGTGTATAATTTTCTGCTATTTGGTAGTCAGCCAGATGTATAACATAATAATAATGAATGATTTTAGTTTTAGTTTGTCTCTCAAAAGCCTTATCTACTAAGCCTCTCTTTGTAACATGAATTTTTTTAAATACGAAGTTGTATGCATTTTGTTCAAAAAAATATCTACCATTTTGAATTTATTTTTATAAATATTCTATTAGCAAGAAAACTGCATATAATTAGAAATGTTTATTATCTATATGTAATGAATTATATAAATTTTATACATTTTTATGGAATACATTTTTTATTTATAATCTAAATTTTGAAAATTAGTCAACAAATCCTACAGCTTGCATTAAAGTGTAAAAATTTACTTCATTATAAATTCATTTGCTCACAGCATTTCAAAGTATTTTGAATTTTCATTTTAGCGATGCCCTGATTGTAAAATTTATATACTGTATTCGAATATTTCCTTTTAAATTTTAGGAAATTTTCTCAAGATTGTTGAAATTTAGTACTGGCAGGTTTAAAATTAAACCTTAGCAATATGCGGGTGTTTAAGCTGGTCTTAGATCATTCTTCAATAAGATGGTGCTATAACATCTGATTCTTCTGTGATTTATCACATTAAAAATTTTGACTGTTTATTTCATTTTGTATACTGATGTCGATTTCACTTTATAGCCATTTAAGTGATTTAATATTTAGTTTACTTAATATAAAGTTTATTAAAATTCATCATTTAAACTATCACTTTTGCTTCCTTAACATTTCAGAAAAATAAATATTTAGATGCATGTGCACTTGTGTTGTAAGTGTAAACTATGCAAAACATTATTGATCATGATTGAGGATTAACATAAGGTACTTACTAATGTAATATAGACAGTATTTTTCCTTTGTTCTTTAATGCTTAGGATAATGACCGAAGTTTGAAAGGCATTGACTGTAAGTTGCATGTTCAATTAAATTAAATTCTGAAATGAGAATCGGTGCATCGCTAATTGTGTAACAAACCGTGATCCTATAAGTGTCATATAATGTACATAGAAATTTAAAATATTGTGTGAAAAAAAATGTGTGGTATATACACTTTTCTTCTATGTGTGTTGTGGAATAAAGCAGTTCATCTGTCGCATTTTTAAAAAAGTTTAAAAAAAATGAAAAACAAAATATGTCTGTTTTCACTGTGTAGCAAAACATGCTGTGACACACTTTAGATAAGTAGTTAGATAATACTTACTTACATTCTTTGCATTAAACAAGTTACATAGGGCAGATTTCCAATGTGCTTCAAATCTGCAGTTGTTATAATTCTGTGTTTAACTATCTTTATTTTTAATGTGTTATTTCAGTGGTGGTTAAGAAATTATCATATTATTTATTATTTATTAATTTTCTATTATAGTTTTTTTTCATTATTCCTGATCATTTCAATTAAAATTATCTCGAAGAATGTCTTTACTAACTGGCATTCACTTTTGCAGTTTTCTATGAAATATTTCGCAGTCTTAAATCTAGATGTGTACTCACATATTGAAAATATCTATACTCAATGTCTTACGATAAAATATCTTTCAGTTTATTGGCAATTTTTTCCCCTTGATTCTACTTTGAGATCAGCAGTTTATAATTTCAATAAGAGCTTATGACTTCAATTTATTTACATCGTAGAATTCTAAATTATCACTGCATCGAGTACCTTATGAGTTTAAGAAGTACGTAGTTGTTTCACATAAATAGTCATAGTATCATTACTGGATCGAGAGGGTACTAAGAGTTAAAATTTCTGTGATAGTTTGAAATGAAAATAATTTGCAAAGTACTTTATCATGTCACGTCAACACTTTAGTTTAGCTTTTAACTTGATACAAAGTATCAGTGTTTATAATAATAGGTCTATTCTTGTTTCAGAGGTTTAGATAATTTCAGTTCTTTGCTCTCATAATTAGCGAAGGAAGTTGGACATTTACAATAAGTTTGGATTCTGTGTCGATACATACTCGATATTACATTATTATATTCGATAATACATACCAAAGTTCGCATTGAAAGATATAAATGTAAGGCGAAAATTAAGAATGCTGTAATCCATACACTATACGAAAATTGACTTTTTTTCAATATTAATCTGGTAGAATAATAAATCTTTAATTCATCAAAACTGAAGTAGAAAGGTTTGTTCCTGTGTTCGTGTATTCTTATTAGGTGTAAAATTTAATGCAATTCTAACATTACATTTGAGCTGAATTACATTTGTCATACTTGATAGACCATAATGCAGTTTGGTTTCGAAAACAGTTCTACACTTTTGGATTGCTTTGGAAGATTCATCAAGTTTGCTCAGCATCTCTGAAATCATTTTACGGAATTTTTGAGATTATGCTAATTACGGGACAAACTTTGTCATTTACGGTATTACATGTGATGATAATTCAAGGAAATGGCAGTATACTAGTATGAATGCATCTAAAAATAGGAAAAAAAATTTACTCATGTTTTGGAACACCAAAAAGTTTTTAATATGTGTAAAATTAAATTAGAACTGTAGTCTTGGAATTTATAGAGTTTTTCTGGCTTGCAAAAAGTTATTCCAACAATATTGGAAACAGCTTAGTATTTAAATTAGAATAAAAATAATCTTTGTTGACATGCAATAAAAAATCTGCTTTAATTCATAGTTTTTAATTCGTAAGTTTTAATCATTGAATTTACAAATTCTGAGATCTTAACAAAGCAAAATCAATCAAATTTAATTTAATATTGTAATTCGTACTGCTGAACTAAATTCCACGGTTTCATTATTTTTATGCTAATTTTAAAGGAAAATGTTACAAAGAGAATTCATTCTTATATCACAGAATGCTCTTTTTGAAAATTTTTATTGCACCTTAAAGTTATATAATATAATATTAAAATCAAGCAAGAAGGTTTATATAAAGTAGAATCTCCTCTTCCTAACTATACTGCTTCCTAAACGAACAGATAGATGTAAATGGTTACAAGATTTAATTTTGACATAAGATATGGTTTTTTATATAAGACTTTAAATAGCATTCATTTATCCTGTTTAAATTGAATTATCCCTGTTTTAATGTCTGAAAGCTTTAATATGAATCTTTTTATATTTTTTATAACCTTTCAGAAAACTTACATATTTAATTTTAATTTATGAGCAGAAAGAGTTTGAAACGAATGCTTCTTGGACCAGTTATGGCTAAACTGTCGTGTTAGCTATCCCTGATTTAAATCATTGTAATTTTATCTCTGGACATTTTGTTTTGCTTGTTTTAAACTATAAAGAGGCGATCTAAAAAATGTAACCAAAGAAATTAGTTAGTTGCTAACTAATTTCAAGTATATTTAAATTTTTATAATTATTTGTATTACAAAAAAAAATATTATTTAATCCATTCCATTCCCTCAGTTTTAAGATATGGTTTCATCTTTAGCCTGATACTCAGGAAACTTTACAGGAATTTTTTCTGCCTAAATTTTAAAATTATTTCGTCTTTTAAAGGCTTTTTGAAAAATATCTAAATAAAGATTATATTTTTTTCATTGAAAAACAACAGAAATATTTTTTTAGATAAAATGTAAATCAGTTGCATTTCCATCTTCGTTTCCGAACATATGCATACATGACTTTGGCTTAGAAGTAAAGAATAAGGTCTGATACTAAAAAATTCTAAGATAGGCAAGAGAAGTAAACTAGATTTAGAACTGGTGTGCTATTGATGAAGGCTGATAAATTTTACTAGGCATACAGTCATAAAGCTTTGATAGGGTTGGTGTAAAAACTGCATATTAATTACATTGTATTGAGAGTCATTTCAAAGATATATTAAAATGTAAATAGTGAAAAAACGGTTATACATAAACGAATTAAAATTTTTATTGCTATCTGATGATCATACGATGCATTGAATTATCCAACATAACGACATAAATTTATTAAATGAATATCATGTAATTTAAAGAATTCTTTTTATGTAATAATATATGGTATTGAATTACGGTACTCGATATTTTAGGTATGAAAGTAAAATATGTATATTAAACTAAGAATCTAAAACAAAAATGAATTGTACATTGTTATGTATAAAAATTGTAATTAAGTTAGGAAAATTTGAGTGCAACTTCCTACGCTTTGTGATTATATTTCCTGCAATGTTATGTTGTTCTCTACATTGTTATAATGTTGTGATACTCACATGTATTTAAGGAATATTTATGGTATATGTTATGTAAATAAAGTAGATATACGAATTTAGAACTTTCTCGTACCTGCTATTAGCAGCTTTGTATAAATGAGGGAAGAGTTGATACATATGAATGCATCTTGAATGATAGACTTAAACATATCTTTTATATTTTATTTTTCATTTTTTGAAGTTAATGTTTGTTTAATGGATTTCATGCATCAGTATCTTTCAAAAGATATTTAGTTTGCATTTATTTAGCTTCAGTATTTGATTCTCAGTTTTATGTGAATATATTACTACTTCTTCATATGTAACACTAGATATAATTGTATTTATATATATCTTTTGTTACTGCATTTGTTATTGCATTATTTATGTTTTATTATCCATGTAAAATATTATTGTGTTATTTTTCATACATTAGGATGTGAGAAACTCATCTATGTAATATAATACCTGATTTAATATTTTCTGATGCGTAGTATAGAGTGATCACCGGATTCTGTCAAAAAATGCTGATGCTGTTGTTCATAAAAATTAGGCTATAGTCACGATGCATATGTGAAACAAGTTATATGAAATTTTACTTTTCTGCATTTTTGCACTTTTTAAATCATTTCCACTGCTGTAATTATACCTTTAAATTTTTAAGCCTTTAACATTTTATATAGAATGGGAAAGTGTTATGTTGCTCATAGGATGGTGGAAACTATATCGTTACAATGATATTAAATCTAGTGATCTGTACATATATAATTAAACTGTAGATATTTTTTATGTTTGTAAAGATATTTTGTTTCATAGTTTATCAGATAATTTCTGTAAATATTTTTGTTCCTTAATAAAAATTAATTTTCGAAAATGTTATTTAATTTTGTTTGTTTCTATTTCTCAAAGAATAGGAAAATTTCACATAGTACACAAAGCATAGATCTAAAAACGAAGGTTTCGCAACAAATGCATATTTACTATACATATTCTGTAAGTATCTTTCAAAATTGAATTCAAAAGCGCTGGAAAGTTTCCTTCATTAAGAATAAAATTTGAACTGATTTAACAGAGTCTAAAACAAATAAGCTGTAGTGATAACCCTTAAGCTCCTAAGAAGATTTCTATCGCTGATTTTCTAAATCATGAGATGAAAAAAACAAGACAAGATTAATAAAAGGAAAACGCAACCAGCGAAAATCATGAGTACTGATGAAAGTTTGTGATAAGTTAATATATAAATTATATGAAAATGATGAAATTTATTAAAACTGAGTATACCTGAATAGAAAGCTTTGAGATCTTTTCCCCAGATCGCGAAGAGGAGAGAGAAGAAAGAAAATTACAGTGCAATATTTGTATACGGAAAAACATCCAAAACTTACTAAGCTCGTATGATGAAGTAGTACGCGTACAATGTAATTTGCACCATCTGAATTGCATTGAGAGCATAATGTATTATTTCTGAACACTCTGAGTTTCTCAGATTGAGAAAAGAAGTATAATATACTAATACAGTACTTCTTCTTTATTATTTAAAGGTGGCAATAATCAAACAAATGTTTTAATAGATGTTAAAAGTGCCACATTCCTAAAGAATTAAGAAAACTGGTACATACGTGTACAAAATTAAAAACAGAGGATATTTGTTTAAAGTAATGTATTAACAGATTGGTCATTCCACGCCTTCTTTCAAATTCTGAGAACTTTACATTCCAGGGCTTCTAAACAGTGGGTCGCGACCCCCTTGAGGTCGGGGAACCTGCAGCAGGGGGGCGCCAAAAATTTTAGCAGTTTTGATATTTCGTTAACTTATTATAATAATTTTCCAATTACCAAATATTTTTAACACAATGTATTTGAAAATAGATAAAGATAAGACAATACAGACAAGGAAAAAAAAAACGAAAAACTTTTTTTTTTCCCTTTGTCTGTGTTAGGCGTAGAATGACCAATCTGTTTGTCTGTATTGTCTTATCAAACGTATGGTGTTGTCCGACACCAATTACCGGGACTCGAGCCACGGATTTCTAGAATACGCATCGAGCGTGCTGACTACTACACCACGAAGACATGCTAAGAAGGCAGGAGAAATACCTTATAAGTTTCTGCACATTTTTTTTAAGAATTCGTTTACATTCCTTCTTATGCGTTAAAGGCGCTTTATGTATCCCTTCGTTATTACTGATTTCACTGTTTTCTAATGCTATAAGATCATCCAGTTCTTCATTCATCATTTCTCGATTAATTATTTGATGTCTCTATCTTTTAAAATTGAAAATCCTTTGTTACTAATTTCTTTTGCAATTTTTGACGTCATTTTAAATTGCTAGAAATCCTTTGAAACTGTTATAACTTCAGGCCTGATCAGATGCCAGGAAATTTCAGTGCTGATGAATGAACTTTGGATCACATATGAATGAAATTCTAGAGGTGGACAAATTAAATGGAAACGATTAAGAAAATGTGTATGATGCGAAGCCTTGTTCCTCAAATTCGCGCTCAACCAGGGTTTGCTCTATATAAAAAAAATTGCACAGCATTTGAAATCCACATTTTAACTTTCAAACTACTCATTCAGCAATTCTCATCATTTGTTGTTTTAGTGTTGCTGCTTCTCATTTGACTTTGCACATCTTCCTCATCCTCATCTTTTTTTCTTGTTAGAAAGTAAGATTTTGTCGAGACGCTTTTCTTTAAAGCGCGTAAATTCGAAATCTTATCATATATGATTTATAATGATACCCTTCGTAATATCCAAAATCCCATTTCAAGTTAATTAAATGTAATTAAACCAAATTTAGATCGCGATATTTTTTAAATCTGGAAATACAGACTTAATAAATCAAACAAAAGAGAAATTGTGTAAATTTTCACTTAAGAAATGCTTTATCTATATTTACATGATAAGCATTGAAATGATATTCATTCCACCTTTACTCTAGCGTATTTATTGTTATCTAATCTCCAAAATAACGAAATGGTTTCTAAAATTATCCAAGATTATGGAAATATCATCATAAAGATGTTCATCTGATTATTCGCCGTACCTCTGTATACGTTAAGTATTATTGAGCTTAAAAATCGCCTTGTTACTGAATAAAATTTGTGACAAGCTACTCACTTAGGGTTAATTTGGGTTGAATTCAAATACCGTCTCGATGTTGTTCAAGTAATTATGAAGTCATGCTGTAGAATTTCTTTTAATTACCGCATTATTTCTCATGTTCTTTCCTGAACTTCTACTGTTTCGTGTGTGTGTGTGTGTGAGTATGGCAAAGCCTCGAGGGCTATCTGCCTAAGAGGAGGGATGCCTTCGTGGAGGACTTTCTAAGGGAAACTGGCTCGTATACACGTTACACATGGGGAAAACCACGAAAACGCCCATGCAGCCAGCCCGTTCGCGGGATTCGAACCTCGGACCGAACTACCAGTGTTCAGCGACTTTACCGCTCGGCCGCTGGTGGGCTATACTACTGTTTCGTGTACTCCACCAGAAAATACAAATGAAATTATTTTGAACAACGTGCAAGAACCTAAATTTATTGAAAAAGAATTGCTAAGCTTTAAATTAATACTTCGATTTCTAAGTAATTTGAATAATTTTTGTCTGTCCATCCTCCAAGAAGAGAGAGTTAATTTTGTTAACACTTTAGATATCTGAAACTTTGAACTGGAATGAAAATAAATGCTTAAACGTTTTATTTACTATTTTAAAAGTAAAGATGGAAAAATTATTCGTTTAACCCTCTAAGAATATCAGACAAGTGTTTTAAACCAGTCAAACCTTACAACGTGAAGCACATATATTATGAAGGTAAACAATTTGGGAATTTTTCTTTTGTTTGATGTAAAGATAATCAATCTGAATTTCCAACTTTCAGAAATACGGTCTTTTGAAACAGGATGATTCATTTTAAATTACCCTGCGTATCAAGATCTTTAAGCTTGCTAATATATTATTGTAGCATGATATGCTATGAACAATAATAAACGGTACAATATATGATGCTTACACTGTAAGTAGTTATGAATCCTATCATACTGCATATTTAGCATAATAATATTTTTGCCCATTCTGAGTTACTACAGATCCCAACTGTAGATCTTGCCTTTTCGACAACAAGGCAAACAATAGATTAAAAAATAGGAAATTCTATTTAAAAGCACTTTTATCACTAACATACAGTTACAATTAATTACTAACAAAAGCCAAAGAACCTCGTATTAAAACGGACCTCAGCAAAACCTCGAAACATTAAACATATCGTAATTCAATATTACATGATAAAAAGTTAACTTAATAATTAGAAACTTGCCTATGTTTAATGGTATTCAAAAAGTTTTGACAATTTGTCTTTCAACCTTTAAGGCAAGCGCTTCCAGGACAAGCACGTATTATTACGTATTAGCAGGTTTAGCACGTATTTTAGTACTAATTAAATTTAATTACTCAGTAGTATTTATATTAAATTTACATTTCATTAGATGAATCTACCTTAGATTAATATATTTAGATGAAATAAAGCAATGGAACATTGCATAGTAAATCTTATGTGGACTTCAGATTCTTGAAAGAGCAGATTTAGTCTCTTTTCATTCTAAAAATAATGCTGATGAACTATGAAAAAAAAAAAAATGTTAAAACGACCCCGTCTAAAAGCGGTCATATCATGACGTTTCAGCGACGTCGACAAATTGCTAACATGCAACGGCAAATATTTTGCGTCTTCGCGACGTTGTAAAGACGTCGTAAAAGTTACCACGACCACTTTGCAACCTCTCGGACATTTTGCAACGTCGTGTGCTACTTGGGATGACCATATTCTTGGCATCTGAAACAGCGTTTTATACCATAAAATTCTTTAACTTTACACGTTTTCCATACTAGAAGAACATGTAAATGTTCCATACATATCTTGAATGCTTTTGGAGTACATTTTATTATCCATCTCAAGAGATCTTTATTTTTATCAGAGAGTTTAAATAATGGTATTAGATCCTGAATGTCACATCCTTTGATAATTGTTTTAGTACTGTATCTGTGGAGATATTACATGGAATACTGCTTATAATTAATTTTGGTGATTTCTTCTTTGCGATTCTGAAATCTACTAATTTTAGTGCTTCTTCATTTTTTGTAATTGCATTTGAGATCTTTGTTACGTCTTCATGCGATTCGCATGAAACAGCTATGCCTTCTTTTCTTGTGTAAGTATTAGATTTAACTGCAACATTTATTTCGTGAAGTGGGGGAATTTCTTCTAATTTTTCTGAGGTTGTTACAATCCTCATTCTTTGGAGAGATTATTATGATTGGAGAGTCTTCTTTTTCATACGAAGTCGGTTGTTGATAACTTATTTTGTTCGTAGGGTCATTTTATGTAATTTTTTCCTTATAAAATAATAAGATATCAAAATATAGCTTATTTAATCCTTTCTGCTTATATTAAAACACATGCTTTTTTATAACTTTAATAAGAGTTTAGGCAACAATGGGATTCTATAAATTTCAAATAATAAAAATATTGGAAAAATATTAAATAGTTTAAATGTAATTAGCAAATTAATATGAAGTTTATATGGAGAGGAAAAGAAAATTCTTCTCCATAATGCTATTATGAAATTTTATGCAATTAAAAATAATTCCACTGCATTTTCAAATATTAACACTGACAGGTAAAGCGTAAGTTTACTATAATGATGCATTTCTATGAATTTGAGCTTTTAAAGGCAATATTTATATATTGCAAAATTAATTATTTTAATATTATGAGAAAAGAGTTATTTTTCGTTATAAAACTATTTTAAAATTATTATATTGTTTTTACATACTTTTTAGATATTAATGAGTGAAGTCAGATGTATTTACAATGAAG